AGATTTTTGTATGTTGATTTTGTATCCTACGGCTTTACTGAATTCATTTATTAGTTCTAAAAATATTGGTAGTTAGGGTTCTCTCTATATAGTAACATGTCATCTAAAATAGAGACAGTTTTACTTCTTTCTTTCCAACATGGAAGCCTTTTATTATTGATTGATTGATTGATTGATTGCCTAATTGCTCTGGCTAGGACTTCCAATTCTATGTTGATTAAAAGTGGGGAGAATGGGCATTTTTGCCTTGTTCCTCATTTAGAGGAAGAGTTTTCGGCTTTTCGCCATTGAGTATACTATTAGCTGTGGGCTTGTCATATGTGGCTTTTATGTTGTGTGGTACATTACCTCTATACACACTTTGTTGAGAGTTTTTATTATAAATGGATGTTGAATTTTGTCAAGTGCTGCATCTGCTGAGATGATCATATGATTTTTGTCCTTCATTTTGTTACTGTGGTATGTCACATTGACTGATTTGCTGATTTTGAACCATCCTTGCATCCCTTGAATAAATCCCACTTGTTTGTGGTGTATGATCCTTTTAATGTATTATTGGATTCAACATTTTCCTGGGGAATTTTAATGACTATTCTCTGTAAACTGGGAAGACTTGTGGGAAATTCTGTGGTTAAAAATGGGCTCCCTATTTTAATGGAGACATCAGAATCTTGGGGTTGATAGAGGCTGGATAGCAGCACTTTGCAGCAATTAACAACTAGAGACACAACGGAAACAGTATCATAATAGGAAGCTGGTTCACTGTAACCATCGTAGTTTGGCCTACCAAACTCTTTGGTGGTGGCTGGTAAATCATTGGGCCTCATAGCCTGAAATGATGTTGAAAAATCCAATTAGGACAGCACAGATACTGACCAAGAAAAATGAGTGCCAGTGTATAATACAACTGATATAACCACACCAGTGTATAGCAGCTAAATATTAGCTGGACTTGGGACCAAATATATGGGCAACTCAATGTAGGCCCTACTTGGTATGTGTAACAGCAACAGTATGAAAAACTTGACTAGAGCCACCAATGTAGAGTGTCAAGGCGTTCATGAAATTGTCATGCATAGATATGGATGAAAGGCCCTAAGGTGATGAACTCTGTAATATCCAGAATCTTTCTTTGAGTTTCCATTTACTAGAATAACAATTCATTGCAGAAAGGAGACTACTAGGCCTTCTGGAAATCACCTGGCAACAGAACTCTGAACGAATACAAATTTCTAGGGTCTCAGAAATTATTGCGGTCTATAAGATTAAGTGTACCCTTAGGACTAAGTGTATGTAGGAACAAACCCACCCTCTAGTCATTTTCTTAATGAAGAGTTAGAATTGATTTCTTCATCATCTGTCACCACATTGGATCCCTGATAACACACAAAAAAGGGTCATTCTGGCAGGAAGTGCCCATTGATTTGCAGAGGTAAGTCCCACCAGCAAAAGGTTTAAAGGAAGCTTTAAAAGCTTTAAAAGATGTGATTCTTATCACATCTTGACTATGATCTTTGGATCACCCTAACTTAATCAGATGGTGATTCCAACTGCGCCTGACAGACAAGTTCTCTTTCTTGGAGCAGATCAGTGAGTAGCTACTGATCAGGCCAATGCTTTTTCGTTTTTCCTATATTCTAGTAAGTAGAGGGCCCTTGAAGCAGTTTGTGCTACCAATAAACAACATTACTCTCTGACTCTGTGCCAGAATATAACTCTTGACCTTGATCATCTCACCATTATACAGGGCATCACATTGGTCTAACACCTTGATGATGATATGTTCATAGGACCTGGAGCATGGGCATCATTGGATTTCCTGAATAGCGGCTAAGACCTCATGAAAGCACAAGAGCCTGCCGCCTTAGCCAAGTTTGTGGAGGTCCAATGTCTGATGCACGTTAGGATGTTACTTCCATAATGATTAACTAATTGTGTGCCTTGCTCCACCTGTGACTAAGAGGTCCCTCTGTGTTTGCGAGGCTTCTTTGAATTTTCTGTCCACTGCTCAAACCCACTTATGAGTTGATCCAAATGCTTCTGGCTTTAACTGGGCTCAGAAAAAAGCTGCTTTAGCTGATCCAGGCTGCAGTGAAAGTAGTTTTACCATGTAGACCTTATGAGGGAGACGCAATGGGCTCAGAGTTTTGAGGCAAGTCAGGATTCTGTATAAAATGAGGATTTTTTAGTAAACCATGCCATCTTCTGAAAATACCTATTCTTTCAACTTACTACTGGGCTACATGAGATAAAAGCAAATGAAGGAAAATTGTCCTGAACAAGAATTCTGTGAAGACCTCAGATAGACTCCCTCAGGCCTTCACAAGTTCTCTGAATAGATGGTTGGCATTTAACAGTCATATATGGAAACTCAAATTCACAGGCAACATACATCTGATTTAATATAGGGATGGTTTAGAGATACTGTATTATGCCCATCAACTCATCTGGCCCACTCCTCAATCCACTATGCAAGTATCCTCAGCCCTTAGCCCAACATATAATAGACCAATAAGGAATGAGAAGCAGAGAGCATACTTGAAGAGAGGCTGATTTAATCCAGTGAGTTTTAAAAAGACACTGCAATATTTAGAAAGACCATTCTTTTCAGATAACCGTTAAAAAAATAGAATGTATATAGTATCAGGATTCTTAAATTCCAAGCAATAGAGACTGATTCTGTGACTTTCAAGAAAAAAAAAAAAAGGCAGATGTTGAACAACTGAGCATTCGGTAGGCCAGAAATGAAGGTGGCACTATGGATTTAAGCAGCAAGAGCTCAAAACCATCTCTCTGGAAGGCTGCCAGAGGGTGACTTGAGTCCGGTCACTTCTCCCAAAACATACAGAGAAAGGGCAGTTCCTCGGAGTAAGTGTTGTGTGTGTGCTGGGGAGTGGGGGCTGAATGTGGGAGAGGTGCTAGGGGAGGAGGGTGGTCTGTGTTTCTATCACGTTGAGCAAAGAAAACTAGCAGTCTACTATACATACAAAACTGAGCTTTGAATTATCTTATATATATATATATATATATACATATATTTTTATAAAACTCACACTTTTCCTGTAATTAATGTCTATTGTTAGTGTTTCTGATAGAAAAAAGTATCGCTACATGCTAATACTGAGCATGTAAAAATAGGTTCTGAAAAAATTATCACCAGAAATAGCTCCAGAAGCAGTAAAGAGTTCATAAGTTACTCCTTTTGTTTATTGAATTATATGAATAATCTATTTTTTGTTCCATATGGTAGTTCTTTAAGCTTCTTTATCTTTCCATCACTATTTCTAATGTAATCATAGAAAAAAACCATTGATGAGAGGTTTAGGCATAGATTAGGTGGAAGGCACCTAATGTGAGAAAAAAAGTTAATAGAGTCACATCTACTTAGGGCCTAAGAACTTCTAAATACTAATTATACTTTATTGACGGTCTTGGGGAGATTACATGGGATACATGTTGTTTTCAGTCCTGATAAAGATTGAGAAATGAGCCTTTGGGAATGTAAGTCCTATTTTTTCCCTTTGTATATAAAGTGTGAGGCTCTTGCTTGGGTCCCACCCACATCCAAGGCTAGGTTTAAAACATGAATGGGCAAGCTGGATCATCTGGCAAAGACAGACGAGAGCCTTGGTTTGAACGTCTGAGTTGTGCCCTGAAAAGAAACTCATTCTGAGCTAAGAGTGTAGGCAGGGCAGAGTGGGCCCAGTTTCAAGGCCTCAAGGTCAAGGGAGTCAGCTTAGTGCAGGGTCTGCTGTTCCATTATATCCTTGCCCCAGTTCAAGGACATGTGTCTGCATGCTAGACACAGAAAGTAAAACCAGAACGTACTATTCCATCAAAAATTTTGTAAGCTCCCTGGCACATGCAGCTATGTTTGGCATCTAAGAGAACGTATCACAAAACGGGGAGTGAGGCATTCATTCCCCTCCACGTTACTAAATCTCGGCACGCCACCTTTAGCATCCTGAGGGGCCAGGACATCAGTGGGGTGCCTGAGACCAGCAGGAGAATGAAATGGTCCCTGAGAAAGGGCAGTAGTAGCTAAAGAGAGACCATGGAAGCCAAAGAAATTTGCAGAGTCTCAGCTCAGGACATCTCTTGACACAGGTGAGACTCCCAGAAATTCTTGGGGAGGGTAAATCCTTTGCAGTGAAATGGCGTGGCAAGTGCTGCATAAATAGGGGTTACTGTCATTAAAAAAGTCACATTTTGACAAAGGCTGGTGAAGCTGGGAATTTTCAGATGAGATGGCAGTGACTTCTCACCAAAATGCAGAGCTTGGATCTTTCCCCCAAGGTGACAGTACAGAGCCATCTGTACGACTCCTCCCCAACACTCCTGCCCTACAAAGCAGTATATACTGGCACACAGGCAAAGGGTGACAGTACCCATTGGTTGTGGAACATTTTTCTGGCCAAGAAACCGTATCTTTTTTTGTCGGGAAGAACTAAGAATGTTGGTATCCTTTTCTTTAGTATCATAAATCAGCTGGTGAAAACAGCCAAAGAATACATAGCATCATGTGTCATCTTCATTTCCCTTGAGACTTCATTTCTCTGATTCCTCTGCCATTACATTTAGGACCTAGTTCTGCTAAAAGAAAAAACTACAAATAGGCGGTTTAACTTAAAGTAAGAAATGTAGTAAACATGTGCCCTTTGTTCTCGCTTTGAACCTTAGAATTCACTCTTCCAATAACAAAAGAAAATGTGGTATGTCATCGTGTGCTGGTATCATGAAAGACAAAAATGTTATTTATGGGTTCAGAGCTGTAACATGACTACTGATACTAATTATGGGCTTTGGACTCCTCTTTAATCATCAGCTTCATTGGTTAAAGTGTTTTTATTAACTTGCAGTTAAATAGTTTTCAGTTAACATAAGAACATAGAGATAACATCACAATTGCACTGTGAAAAGGTAAAAGGCCTTTGTGTCTCATTACCAGGTAAAAAGTCTGGAGCTAGGTGTCTCACAGATGATACTAAACAGCCACCGACTTAAGTGATGAAATTACACACATAGGCCACTTAATGGCTTCCTAGGAGTCTGAACTTTTACTTTCAATACCAAATAATATCTGGAAAACATGCTCACTTTTGTGTTTTTTCAGAAATTCTAAGAATTGGCCCAGATTCATGTGATAGTCATTCCTTAATCCATAGTCACCATGGGCCTCCAGGAGTAATTCTTCAAAAGAATGGAAAAGGCGCAGATCCTCTCCATTTCCTTCCGTTTCCACACTTTCAGCATGCTTACAAGAAATGTGTTTCCAGTTGGGATACCTAATTGTGTGCCAAAATTCCTCGCAGTGCTCCTTGAAGCCCTCCACACAGATTATACCCGGCTTTCCTGTCATGCAAAACCCAGTCACATCTAACCTTTTCCCAACATCCAAAATCTTTTTTCTTAGGTCCTGCTGATATATGTGGTGGCTGTAGATCCACATCCGGAGGAATGTGTTCTTGACTGGCTTTGCTTGTGTAGACGGTTCATAAACGAGCTTTCTGTTCAGAAAATAGGAGGCACTGTTGTCCTGTAACCACTGGATTGCTGCACATACACAGAGCTCGCCTGGATCAAAAGTCCCTATGTAAGAAGTGAGACCTTTGTTGAGAAGTAGTTGCTGTTGTCTGTCAAGCTCAGGAGACCGTCCAAACAGCTGCAATGCTACATAGGGGTAGCTGTGAGGCATGGTTACTTGCAAATCAATTTTCACCTTAAAATGAAAATCAAATAGATTTAAGTACCGTACAATCACCTAAGCTGGTTTATCAGTGGCAACTGCATGATTTTGATAAATGTAATAGTTATTGCTACTGTTAAATGTCAGCTATGTGCCAGAGACTCTACCGAGTACTTTATATACACTATTCCTTCCATGTAAGCATCCATTCATTCCAGTATTTACTGAACACTCGCCATGTGTCAGGGAGCTAGACACAACTTCTGCTCTTTGTGAAAAGTAGAGCCTAGTGAAAGAGACAGACATTAAACTAGTAAGTACACAGAACAAGTATTTAATTCCAATGGTAATGTGAAGCATGGAAAAGTGCAGGATCTGCTGAAATGTGTAACCAGGGAGACAGAATTCAGTCTGAGGAACCAGGAGATCTTGTCTGAGGAAATGAGAGCTGAAGGATGAACAGAAAATCGCTAGAAGAGGGGTTCTTAAAAGCCTAGTCCACTTGTTATCTACGCTATGCTAATGTTACTGGAGACAATGGATCAGAAGATGAAGGTAAACTCATTTTTAGTATTTAGATTTCCTATCTGGTATTTGCTTTCTGTGCTATGGTGTCACCAAATAAACATTCATCCACTCCTTACAAGCCAGATTTGCTAAAGGTAAGATTTAGATTTATCAGAATCATGATATGTCTACAAGACAGTACATACGACAATAGTTGGGTTGGTAAAAAACTGGTCGAGTGAACAAAATAATGATGGTAGTATGAGACTGCAGATGTTTTTAATAAAAACACTAGATATGTTTGTTAAAAAGTGTGCGCATTTATGTAAAATCCAAGATATTTATTGAAGACAATTTACAGTGCATCCCATATTTTACATATTTCACTTTCAAACAAGTAAAGGAAATAAGAATCTGGAATATTCTCTATTTGTTTCCTGGACAGAAAGCTCTCCTTCCAAGTGTTTGCAATAAAAGCTGGGCACCCAGCAACAATAAAAGCAACTCAGGGTACCTACCTTGGGCTCCTCAATCTGGAGTGTAATCACAAATTCGATTTTGGGTGGCAGCGCCTCCCTTTTTCCTTCCAAATATCTCTTTATATTCGTCAGGACATTTACATCTTCGAGTTTTACTTCTCCTTGGTTAGGAAACATAGAGAACAGCATTTCCATCTCTAGCAGCTGAAGCTGCAGGCATTCTTTCATTGAAGCGGACATGTTGCCTCCAAATCCACCTGCCAGGAAAACCGGAAAAGCCCAGGGGCACTAGGTTTCTTAATTTCAGCGGCGTCCAAAGAAATTTCCGGAAGGTCCCTTTCCCTGGAAGCGGTTTTGCAGGAACGTTGTGCACCGACAGCTAGGGGCACAAACCGGGACACTTACACTCTTTCTTCGCTTTATCTCCCGACCCCCAAATCTAGTGTGCATGACATCCCTCCAGAGACTTCGTTAAAATTCAGATTCCCAGTTCGTTACCCCCGCCCCCCCACCCCCGCTTCCGATCCAGATCCGGGAATTTGGACTTTCAACAAGTGTTCCAAATTATCCCGTTGCAGGTGGTTGGCAAACAACACCTGCAGATGCTCTGCAAGCCTGAATTCTGGTTAAGGCAAGGAGCCCAGTTTCCGAATCCCACCCAGGTCTCAGGCTCAGGCGGAGCTGGGCGCTGTGGCCAGGGAGGCCCGCAGTGCTGGCGGGGCTGTGGTCAACTCCCTTGGCTCCGAGGTCTTCGGGGCCCCGCGGCCCCCAAACGCTAGGTGCCGCCCCTCGGCCCCAGCGCCAAGAACCCCTCCCTAGCGGGCCTTTACGGCTCTTCGGGGAGCCACACCAGCCCCGGGCGGCCCAGATCGCTCCGGACGATTTGGACCCACCTGGCCTCTGCCCCGAGGGGTCTAGGCTTAGGGGGAGTCTTACAGGTACATACATAAGATGGTGTTTAGTGCGAGCTGGTGCGGGTAGATGGTGGAGGGGGTGGTGGGGGGAGCGACTCGAGGAGGCTCCCAGAGTCAAAGGCTGGGGAGATGAACCCCGAGAATAGAGGAGGGGATGCGGGAAAAGGGCTTATGGCCGAGGCCACCTTGTCAGAGGCCCCCAATCGGGGTTGGTACCCCCATCTGGGACCACGAGGGACCCTGGCTTCCCAGGAACGCAGGAATGCCACCCCGAAACCCAAATTTGGAGGCGGGGACTGTCGCAGTACTCTGGTGGCCTACGACCCTCGGCCCCAACCCTCGGGCCACCGCAGGGGCCTCACCCTTCCCGGTCATTCAATGGAAACAGACCCAAGCCCTCTCAGAACCGGGATCCGCAGTTCCGCAGGCGCGAGCTGCGCACTACCAGCGAGGAGGAGAGGCGGGTCCAGCGGCCCCTCCCCCGCCGTGATTGGCTGGGGGGCGTGGCGGTGGGACGGAAGTCACGCAGGGCCACGTCTGCGGGTTCCGAGAGCTTCAGTTAGGTTGGAGGCGCCACGGCGGGGGAGCGGCTCGGTTAGGTGGAGGTGAGGGGGAGTCTCCAGCCAGAGGTGAGCGGGGGCCCTTAGGCTTGGCGGCGAGAAGGGGACTTCCCAGTCCGTAGGGGCTCGGCCTGCCGACGGTCTAGTGGGCCAGCTAGCGGGTTGACCCACGGACCGTGCGCGGGACACACCCGCCCAGGCGCCTCCAGAGCGCCCGGAGGGTCTCGTGCCCCTGGGCATTCTGGTCCAGAGGCCTGGGGGGCGGTGCGGCGTTGCGGGGCGGGGAGGGGGGGGGGGGTGAAACTCGGGGTTGAGAGCCGGAAAAAGTGCGGCGCCTTGGGGGCTGGGAGGAAAGCGGAACAAACCAGGGATTGATAATTGAATGAAGGGAAGGGGGATGCGCGCAACTTTTTTAGAGTGGTCGCCGTTTGGACCTGTAAGTACTTTCAAAAAAAAAGAGGTTAGAGTGGAAGAGAGCCAAAGCATAAGAGACTCTTAAAAGCTGAGAACAAACTGAGGGTTGATGGGGGGTGGGAGGGAGGGGAGGGTGGGTGCTGGGTATTGAGGAGGGCACCTTTTGGGATGAGCACTGGGTGTTGTATGGAAACCAATTTGACAATAAACTTCATATACTGGAAAAACAAAAAAAAGCGTTCGCACCCTCGTTGAACGTAGTTTTAGGACCAAAAACGCATTGAAGGGTGGAAGCATTTGATCTTTTTTCTTTTTAAAAGACTTTCTGGATTTAACAGGACTGGTTTACACCCTTATGAATAATCATGATATACTACCGAATGGTCAGTTTTTAACAAAATATATTCTTGCTTGTACAAGAGATTTGATCACTTTGGACCAAACTAAATTAGCTTGCTGAATACCAGCTTGTTCCAGTTGGACAAAAGCAAAAATTTTCTACCATTTTCTTTAACTTTTGTTCATTGAAGCATCGAAAGACGGTAAAGCAAATGAGACAGGACTGCTGTTCATCTCTGGGCTAATTGGAAATGGGACTGACTGGGGAAGTGAATAGTATATACAGCTGAGGTTGGAAACCCCAAGTTTCACTTAAACCTGTAGTATCCCAGAGAAGGAAGTGCTAGTGGGCTCAGGGCCACTGTTTAAAATTAAAGGGAGAAAGAAGATGTTGCTACTGTCAGAGCTTAATTTAGAAGGGTGTCCTGGTCCTCTGTTAATGAAAATAGAAAAATCCACTGCAAGGTTTATTAGGAGGTCTGGGCAGTTTTGGAGAGGAAGCTGTTGCTCTTTGCTTTTCCTTTGGGAATATGTCTCTGGTGTGGGAGGAATAACAAAAGAACCACACAGATTTTCCAGATATTTTGGATACGTAGTCCCAGTCCATTTGACATTGTGACCTTAGGCCTCAGTCTGTCACCAGCTACCCTTGTGTATTTATGTTATTTAACTGAGGTCCAGACTTAAGTTTCTCCGTTTATGAAATGAGATAATCTTTGAACTTGTAGAAGTCTACGAATCTATGTGTGGAATCTTCATTTTAGTTGAGAGTGGACCATTTAAAATTTTCCCTGGGTCCAGGAATAGTCCTGGCGACAAAACGAGAGAGAAGTTGGAGGGATAGTCTGGTGCTATCTGCCTTCGCGTGGACAATACAATTTGGGGAGGATCTTCTAGGTAATGCCGATCACCAGGACTTATTCTGCCATTCTTTCTCAAACCTTCTTTGTGGGCATTCAGAATGAGGCAGACCTCTTAGTTTATGGTGGCAGCTTTTTTTATTTTTATTTTTATTTTTTTAACGTTTATTTTTTTGGGACAGAGAGAGACAGAGCATGAACGGGGGAGGGGCAGAGAGAGAGGGAGACACAGAATCAGAAACAGGGTCCAGGCTCTGAGCCATCAGCCCAGAGCCCGACGTGGGGCTCGAACTCACGGACCGCGAGATCGTGACCTGGCTGAAGTCGGACGCTTAACCGACTGCGCCACCCAGGCGCCCCTATGGTGGCAGCTTTTAAAGCAAATGGTCCTTGTAACATTTCTCGTGCCTGAAAAATATTCCTTAATTTTGTAGACATGGATTTAGATGCTATTACAGAATACTCCGCATTACATCCCAAGCCCAGTGGACTCATTCTTCAATATGGGACTGCTGGCTTTCGAACGAAAGCAGAACATCTCGATCATGTCATGTTTCGCATGGGATTATTAGCTGTCCTGAGGTCAAAACAGACAAAATCTACAATAGGAGTCATGGTAACAGCATCACATAATCCTGAGGTAATGCTTTTCGTGCTCCGATAAAGCAAATCTTTATTTACAAGTACACATCTTAGTGTCTGAGCAGTTTGACCAAAAGTACAAATTAATTCTAGGAATGTTTGTGCTCCTTATGTGCCTTTGGGTTTGAAATGGCTTTTTCTTAATGAGTGGTCATTTAGCTCATGACTCCATAGAGGGTGTAGAGAGAATTAAATGAGACTCATTTCTTGGACTGTGTTCATATCAGAGAAATAACAGAATGTTCTTCCAAGTTAGTTGTATTGAGACAGTATCAGTAACAAAAAGTGTTACTTCTGTTAATGTAGTAGAGAGTAGAGAGATTGGAGGCAAGACAGGGAAGGGCAGACATTTGAAAAGATACATTCAGAATGTCTTGAACATATTTAAGACTGGTTTTCTGTAGTTAGGGAATAGCTTCCTGTTCTGAATGAAGAGCCAAACGGGTGGCTCCAGATACAAAAGTGAGCTTTGGGCAGGTTATTGATGAGGTCTAATGATTGTAGGGTTACGACAATTAAATTTTTTTCTCAAAGTATTCCTTTTGACATAGTCTAACTCTTCTGTATTGCCCATAGCCCACTAATACATGGTTTGAATAATATGCTTCTGTTTGGTGGCAAGGGCCTGAGATTTTTGCCTTTGTAGATAAATTTGCACCAAGTTTAAGTAGGTCTGTGAAGGATTATAACCTCCTCTTCCCTCCACACAGGAGGACACTGCTTGTCCAACTTGTAAACGTGGATCACTAGAAATGCATGTCTGAATGTCTAAATCACCATAATTGATTGACTTACGGGCTGAAGCCTATATTTATTGCTACTTTCAGAAGTACTTCTTAATACTGAGTTGTCTCCTTCAGTTGACAATCATTCTGAACTACAGTTTATTTCTTCCCAGAAATTTGAGCAGAACGGAATGGGGAGTCTGTTTTCAGCTTCTGTTACCCACCGGTTGACATATTGGCCAGTGTGTTCTTAGAGTACAGAGTCATAGTGGGGAGGAGCTCTCACTGCCCTCATTCTGCTCCATTTGCACCATGGTCATGTAATTGATGGTGAATGCACAGATGACAGCCTTTTAAAAAAGCTAGTGTAGCATAGTGGCTGTGGGCTTAAAACTAATAACGGACTTGGTATTTTAATAGCAGCACTGACACTTATTAGCTATATGAACATAAGCAGATTTCTTGATTTGAATCCATTTTCTCAAAGTAAGACTGGAATAATAATAGGATTATTATTATTATAAGTATTATAAAATACTTAGTCCAGTGCCTGGTATTCTGTACTGGTCACTGGTGAAGTCGCTCAGCCATCAGTGTCTTTTTTAGGGGAAAACAGCTTGAGTTTACTTCCTCAACTCACCCTTGTGAATGCTCGCAGATGGCTTATTGTTTGTTTTTCTTTTAAGGAAGACAATGGGGTAAAATTGGTTGATCCTTTGGGTGAAATGTTGGCACCATCCTGGGAGGAACATGCTACCTGTTTGGCAAATGCTGAGGAACAAGATATGCCGAGAGTGTTGATGGACATCAGTGTGAAAGCAGCTGTGAATCTGCAACAAGATGCCTTCATAGTGATTGGTAGAGATACCAGGTGACCATCAGAGTTAATGGTGAAAGCAGCTTTGGGGACTCCACATAAGTGATTACATTAATGTTAGTGCCCATGATAAACTGAAAGAAGGAAGTAAAGTGGAACTGCCCTAAGAGGCTCCTCCACCCACCTGGCCTTTTTTTAGTAGGATGTAGGAGCTAAGTCTCTCTGTGCATCTTGGGTTTTGGAGTCTGAACCCCAACTCTGACACTATATAATTGAATAGGTTATTTAACCTTGTGGAGCTTCCATGTGCCCGTCTATAAAATGTTGATGATAAAGCCTAACACAGGATTTTTGTGAGAATTACATGGCATAATGTATACAAAATACCTATTTCCTGACACGAGAGAAGTACTTAACAAATGCCTCCCGCCCCTTTATTTCTATAGGTTTATTTTCTCCTGTAGAGTAAGAACACATTATAATAATATTTTTAGAGATTTACCTTATAATCTACATAATTGTTGGTTCATATATTTATATCATTTTTGCATGCTGGAGTTCACTGGAAACATTAACAATTTATTTCTACATACCATATCCCCCAATCCCCCATCTGCAAGGGATACATTCCAGGACCTCCAGTGGATGCCTGAAACCATGGATAGTACCAAATTCTATATATACCATGTTTTTCCCTGTACATCCATAATTATGATAAAGATGAATTTATAAGTTAAACGCAGTAGGAGATCAAAATGAATAATAAAGTAGAACAGTTACAGCAACATACTGTAATAAAAGTTATGTGGATGTAGTCTCTCTCACTCTCAAAATATGTTAGTGTACTGTACTCTTTTCTTTCTTGTGATGCTATGTGATGATAAAATGCCCATGTGAGAGAGGATGTGAGGTGAATCATGTAGGCCCTGTGACATAGTGTTAGGCTACTGTTGACCTGATGATATGTTAGAAGGAGGGTCCTCTGCTTCTGGACTGCAG